AAAGACAAGACAACTACCATAGTATTCTAAATACTAGCAGAATCTGGAAGGTTTCCCTTTATAAAACCCATCCGCCAGATTTCCAAATTATTAATTTCCCATTAGGATGAAACATACAGGGCAGCAGGAAGTTAAGGACAGGTGGTAAATGAAGCCAGAGCCTGGAGAGGTGGCCTGGCTGACACCGTGTCAAGTCCTCGGGCTACGCTACAAAAGGAGGTGCCGAGTACGTTTAGGTTGGAGTTAGGAGGCTGACTGCTTTGTCATTTTTCAGTACCTGGTGTAGGCTCAGCCACAAACCATCAGTGACAGCATTCATTTCAGCACGAGGTGCCAGCCAACTTATGTTTAGCTACACTTCTAGCAGTGAAGGAGGAAGGCATGCTCCAGAGCTAAAGGACAAAGGCAGCTCAGACCAAAGCAGAGCAGAAGGATCTGTTCACAGTCAGTAAACAGAAAAACAAAGGGGTTTGAGACTGATCATTAAAAGTTACATTAGCAAGCTAAGCTGCTTATCTTGAGGCTGTAGCAACAAACGGACAAATAGTGCTTTTACCTTCAGAAATTATTTTGATTCTTAGAGAATCACTGCAAAGATTCTCTATATTTTATATGACAAAGAAAATAATAACGAGTTGCCTCCCTGGTGAGTTAAACTATTAGGCAACGGACAGACACCAGTAGAGATAAATGCAGATACTAACACCTGCCACGAAAAATGAGCAGCTTGTTAAGAAGGCTCTATGGCAGAAGGGATGGTGGGTTGCCAAAACCAAATGGCAATCAGAGGGAGCGATGATCATACTGCAAGCAACTTTGCTGCTGGGATCACACTTATATGCCTGTCAAAGTATTTGCATTAACACAGGAACTGGATTTTACTGGGAAATGATTCCATCCCTGCTCACTGGCAGAGGATAGTCTTTAACAGTACTGGCAGCACTAGCATCACATATGTGGTGCTTCATCTGCATCTGATTCACTTTGCTTTCAGAGAAATTAACTGCTGTGTCAACTTGAATGATCTAAGAGCTTCAATCGAATAAGAAATTAAAGGGGACCATGGAGTACAACTAAGCTTTTATCTCTTCCTGGTAGATAAAAAAATCGGACCAGTTAGCTGTAAGGAAGCTTACTTGATCCCCAGCAGGCTGCTGATCACTGAGATGTGATGCCTGAGGAGAGGTGTGCAGGATAGGAGGAGAGTCCAACACAGATTTGGAATACACACAGGAGAACATAATCAAAACATGGTAACTGCTCCTCTCCTTCACTCAAGTTGGAAACGAAAGAGAAGTCTTTGCCAGAGAGGAGGTGACAAATACTGACCAGAACATCCTACACAGAAAGATCACCTGAGCAGTCTCTTCTGCTTAAAACCTTACTTACACACATAACGCTGATAAACCACTTACTTGCCTGCTCCCCCACCATATGAGATACCAGCTGAATTCATGCCAGCCAGAACGAAGTAGCCCCGCACGGTGGGCGACTCCCCCATGATGCACCGCATATCTGGTGTGAAGGACTCTGGGCAATTCACTAACTGCATGATCTGCAGAGCCTCCAAATCCGGCATCCTGCGCAGAAGGGCACTCAGAAGTGGCTCTAGGACCCAAGACAAACACAAAAAGACAAAAAGTCACAGCCTTCAGTCTCGACACATTTCTGCTACTTCACCTTCAAACTGGACAGCACAAAGGAGGCATGCTGTGATCTGAACAGATGGAAACTGCTTCCATGTTTCGATACAGTTGCAGGATAAAGCGTTTACCTGCTGGAATCAAACTACTCAAAATAGATCACTCAGCATACAATAAAAGCAGCCATACCGATCCAGACCAAGAGCCCAGTATTGTTTTCAACAGTGCAAGAGCATGTTCAGTTTTGTTAGGGAAAACAATAGGAATAGACATCAAATAGATACCTAGCGAGGAATAAGAACCAGCAAATCTATATGCACTTGTCCCATGCACTCTGCCAGCCTCCACTTACCATCAGCTCAGAGGATTTCCTAAAAACCTGATACGTCTTCCCTATTTAGTAACCCCTAAATCGATCTCTCTTCTAAGTATTTGACCAGTCTTCCCCAAACTCATGAAAACATCCTACAGACGCTGACAAGGAGTTCCACATATCTAGTATTGGTTGTACGAGGAATCACCTCCTTTTGTTTTGAAATCCATACTCAACTAACTTTTTTTGATGCCTCCCAGTTGGCATAATAGAAGAGAGAGTGAACAAGAGATCCCCATCTATCCTGTCCATCTCATTCAAGATTTCATAGACCTCTGTTTATTTCCCTTCTGTCACCTCTTTTTCCCAGCCCACTCAGTCATTCCTCGCTTGGAAACTGTTCCAAGCTTTGATCAGCCTCTTGCTGCTCTTTCACCAGGCCTTCTCCAGTCATACGATATCCTCTGGAGATAGGGGGCCTAGAACAACAACCAGTATCTGGCAAACCAAAGATTTAGTGTTGCATAATGATTGTGTTTTCTGCTCCTTTCCTAATAATTCCTAAGTTGTCTTTTGCTTGGACTGCTACTGAGCTGATGCCTCCACAGAACTAATACAACCCCAAGGTCAGTTCAAAGCCCATCATTTTGTATGGTGAAAATAAGACCATCCCCACACACCCCCATGCACTTGCATCACTTCACATTTATCCTGATTGAATTTCCTTGCTGCTTCATTGCGCAGTCACGCTGGAAAGGTCCTTCGGCAATTTTCGCAGTTTGACATTTGAGAGCGCTACTAAAGGGATAAGCTATCTACTTTGTTTTTCTTGTCCAGGAGTTACCTCTGCATAGTACTCCAGATAAAAGCCCTCAAGATTCAGCAGTAATAACACTCCTCAGCTTTACACACAAGCAGTAAAATAATCAGATTACACATTACCTAAGAAGTTACAAACAGAAACAGTCTTTCTGACCCGCTCTTTTTCTTCCCTCTCTCATGCATTAGAATTCCAGAGTGAGAGCCTGTAGTTACAGACTTTTTCTCATTGATAAAGAGGGGTCAGTGTTAGATTTGTTCTCATATCCAGCCCAACATTTAAGCGACTGTACAGGCTATTTTAAAATCAAAAGGTGTTCCAACGAAAGAGATCAAAGCAGTAATGCAAGAGCTCAAACCACAGGAACTGCAGCCCTAGGAGAGAATCAAATATTGGCTGAGTAAGCTCTGACTTTGCTCAACTGTTCAGTATGTTTGAACTGATAAGAGGGTAATGCTGGAACATAGCACGCAGTTGCTTCCGAAACTTGGGCAACTTGTGGGTGCCAGCAAGCAGTGCCTTTTCATTTCAGCAGTACCTAGAAAACCAAAAAGGAAGTGGGTGCAGAGCTCGAGCAACTCATTAGTGAAGCTAATATCTTCAAGCAAGTTTGTAGGCATCTGTAGATCTAAAAACCTTTAGCGTATGCCAGCACAAAACTGCACCCCATCTGGCTCTACCCCCTGGAGTTTATAAACTTTTATGGTATCAATACGTTACCTCACAGAAATGGAAGTAAAATTAATCAATTTAACCTGGGGAGTAGCTGGAAGAACATACTACCACTGCAGAAAGAAATCAGTGAAAATCTATCCATGCCTAAAGCCACATACAGAGGCATGCGCATTCACAAGGGATGCAAAGAGCTCTGACACAAGGGAAAACCAGATCCCTGAAAAAAAGGCAGATTTGAAGATGAGAGGGCACACACAAACTTACCAGGCATAAAAGAGGGGAAAAAAAAAGAAAGGGACTCATAGATCATGCTATGTTCTTTCCCACAGAAAGAGCCCTCCATGTAGAAGTACATACAGAACAGAAAAATAGAATCAAATAAAACAGGAAGAGAAAGACAGAACATTTGGAATATAATAAACCACCACTGTCAATGGTGGGATGAAGTCTGGGAAGCAATAATACCAAGTTCTGTTCACAAAGCAACCGCCACTGATGGAAATGCACTTGGCAGCCACTGCTGAAGAGAGCTGCAGAAACAAAATACCACGGCTACATGGCAGGTCAACAGTGTTGATCTACAGCGTCACAAGAGCAGCAGCATGTGGCACTGACAGTCAAAAATCAGATGAAATGGAAGAACAGCGTTGGAAAGTTTACGTAGTACCTCGCTGCACTAGAGGACATTAATATATGCTGAGGGTTAGCAGGTGTTTTTAAACACTACACAGATATCAATGTAGTCCTTGGTAAAGGGGTTTTACACAAATTACTGACAAATAAAGAGATGAATGAATTTGAGAGAACGTTCATCTTTCCCACACTTTTCAGGTAAAGGCAGACACATGCTAGCTGAGCAACAATGCAGGCTGTTGTTGACAACTCTGCCTTCTGCTGAAGCCACGTGTTTTATTGCTGTGGGGATCTTTCCTCCCTAACATACCAAAATGATCCCAGTCTTCTTGAAGGTTCTGAATCTCCAGCTGGTTCCGTCCCTCCGTGAAGAGAGGTTTGGGGTTTTTTTCAAAGCCTCCCGAGAGGATGCCACCTTGCCAGTTGCGTATGTAGATCCTGCCATCCGGGTCTACAATAGCTGCAGAGGAAAGAAAAGAAGTGGGAAGGGAATCGAGAGAAGGGATAGCTATCTCAGGCTGTTGTTCCACAAACACCAACGACGGGGTCTGGTGACAGGCTGGGCCAAGCTAGCGGCCCCCTGACATGAGAAGGGACAGTCTCAGTACCCCATTCACACACCTTCACACCATTCTGGTTCTCACGTCACGCCTTGGTGAGCCAGTTAAGATTACTAAACCAGCATTAACTCCCACCACAACCATGCATGTTAACTTTCGGGCAGCACAGTAAACTGAATTGAACCTGAAGAGTACCCAAGCCAGCAGGACAGTGTTACCAGGAGTGGGAGGACACAAGAGGGAGTCAGATCCCTTGTGGCACTGATAAGCTATTATACTGGCTTAGTTCCACTGGACCTGCACCCAAGACCAGACCTTCCACCAAGAGATGTCCTGCCCTCGCCCTCTTTCTCTTCATATATTAAGAACAATTAATTTTAATAGGGATGCATCACTGATCCAGTTTGCTGCAGGCCACCAGCACAAAGAAGGTGGGCAGCACTGGGGTAAGGGCAAGCAGTCAGGTCTGGATTGCTTCTCCCAGTGGTAGTGTCAACTCGAAGCATTTATGATACTCCACCTGACATGTTCCATAGCAATTTTTCCCATGTACAGAAAAGCTGTGAAAAAATGTTTTTTTTTTTAATATATATATATATA